CAAACGCCCCCCCCCCAAAAAAAAAACGAATGATTGTACCAACTAAACGTCAGCTCACCTGCTGCTGCGGTGCGATTCAATTAGGTAAGGGGTGGTCTGTTATTAGTCCACCTAGTAGAAAAATGAGACAGGTTGTAGTACCATGTGCCATGTCAGATCCCCAGACGGAGCCCAACTGATGATGTCCGCTTTACTGCCTATTGGGATGAACATTAGGAGAAAGACAGGAAAGGTTGAAAGTAAGATCGAAGAGAAAATTGAAAAGTTCAGAGAAATTGAGAAAATGCATGAACGCCACTGTTTACAACACCTAGCCATATCACTCAGCGTCTCTAACCATCGGGTACGACCATCTCTAGGTCCCCATCCAGGGAGCCTAACGGGACCTGTGTGACCTAAATTCCTGGTTAGGGTTTTCATACCCTCATTCCAGGTATCAGCGTGACCACCTTGGGCTTTTTTCCACCCACTACCTGCCCGGCGATGGGAAAGCGACTGAAAGGTGGAAGTTAAAGACGGTTAGTCGATCAACCGGATTGCTTTACGTTGAACATGGTCGAGGAGAGAAAAAGCGGAATACGAAGNNNNCGAAGCTCCACCCCATACGTGACTGCAGTATTCAAGCATCGGGCGGATTTGAGCTTTGTATAAAAGAAGGTGCTTGGATGTAAAGAAACGCCTTGCGCGAAATAGAAAACCAAATTTGCGCGCAGCGCCAGAGGCAAGTGTAGAGATAAAAGTGGACCAACGGAGAGAAGAATTTATGGATAAACCCAGGAGGAAGAGAGAATTTGTGGAACAAAGAGGCAGAGAATCAAAAATCAATTGAGGAAAAAAGGAGACATGTTTAAGAGAGACTGGGAGGAGAGAAGTTTTGGAAGCATTGAAACACACGGTTGGTAGAACCCCATGCGGAGATTAGTCCGCGATCGGAGATAAGAGAATCACTAATGACATTACGATCGTGATTGATGATGGTATTAGCTTGACGGATTGTGGGGTAAGAAAGAGAACCATGGAGAGTGGCATCATCGGCAAAGCAGTGGATGGGATTAGATGTTTGGG